TATATATGTATGTATATGTATATATATGTATATATATTTATTTTTCAGGGTATTGTGAAGCTCGACCACCCCTGTATACATGTAGATTTTCCCGTCGTCCTCTGTGAGGTGTGAAAAGTTGCACAGGACTGATCTACTATGAAGTACAGCCACAGGTACTCTTCCCGGAGCAAAGTCTTGTCCCAGTGTCCATGCATTACAGTCAAGACTGGAGCTGTGGTCTGGAGAGAAAAAGGAAAATTAAAGCTGTCATATTACACTGATTCATTGAATGAAATGTTATACATTTGACTTCAACTATGGTCAAAGGATGCACTGTTCACACAAATCCATATTTTGATATTCACAAAAGTAGTGTTGGTACAGGTTGTGTGTCCACTACCCAGCTGATATGTAAGCAGTCGTAGAGAATACATCGAATGAAGCTGTATTTCTCTTGTGAGTTTTTTTGCAGGGAAAAACATCCTTGATGTGAAAAGGCTTTAACAGTTTATGCCTTCTATGAGACGTAGAGTGAAACTGTATGTGTCTTTGTGTGTGTACATGTGTGCACTTAGGTTTGTCTGAGTGAGTGTCTGTGAGGGGGGACTGAAGATGTAGTGACAGGGTAGAATAATGAAGGATTGTGAAATTTATTGTATATATGGTCATGTTCTGTATTGTCATGTCTGAGTCTGTCTCAGTTATCGGAGCTCAGACCTGCACTAGTGAACATAATGTACTGTAAATACTATCAGATTTCTTAGTTGGAAATACTTGAATAAATGGTTTACTGAGCTGAATATCCTGAGTCAAGAGATTTTCTATGTTTTACTATGTTGGTTATGGCCTCCTGTTACCACTGAGTTAACGTTTGTCTTCTTGGTCCCATACACATGTTACTTTGGATGTAAACTGATGAAAAGGTTCACATTTAAAGGAATATTTTCAGCCCAGTCAGCAGAAGAAAATGTTGGCATTGTACATTTTCGCAAACCACAAATTTGTTGCTGTTGTACATTTCATATGTATCATATCAGCGTGTCTACATTGACTACCTATATGGGCTGACTTTGTCATTGACAGGGGAAGGGATGGTGGATGGCATGTCACCTACGCAAGACACCTGCTGGTTGTGTCTTAGTGACCCCCTGCGGTTTTATAAGCAGCTTTTTAAGAAGGTCACTTGGGTGTTTTTAGTGACCTGTCACTGTTTTTCGAACGGCTTTTTAGTCCCCAAATATGGGTGTTTTTAGCAACCCATCACTATTTTTCAGCAGCTTTTTAGTTACTAAATGGAGGTGTTTTTATCAACCTGTCATTTTTTTTGTTGACAGAGTAGTTCTACACAACGTTAAACGTGGCACATAACACACGATCAAGTTGTTCAATGCTGAGCGAATACCCGCACGCACGGGCTCACCTGTTTTATTGATTAGAGACAGCATACCTGTGGGCAGTTCCCTAATCAGGGTCACGTGACATGAAACGCCAAAATGAACAAAAAATCACAACATATCTTAAACAAACAAAATGAAATGAGAGCACATCAACACCCCCACTTGCTCACATTTTACAGAAATCATGTCAACACAAACTTCACAGGTTTTTTTTTTTTTTTTCAATGCTCACACAATAATCATAAGTTCAGAGTTCATTAGTTGTTCATAGTTCATGGTTCATTCACCAAACATAAAGGTCTCAAAGTTCATTAACTTCAGCTTACTAGCTGGTTTCGTTAGGATGTCTGCAACCATTTCATTAGTTGGACAGTACTCCATTGTCACATCATCAGTCTGTAAAGACGATCTCACAAAGTGGTATTTAATGTCCACATGCTTACATCTTTGCCTATGTACAGGGTTTTTGGCTAGAGCTATAGCGCCCTGGTTGTCCTCGTAGACTAAACACCTGTATACCTGTTCATCAAAATACTTCAGAAGCTGTTTTAAGTACAGGCATTCCTGCATGGTCGCAGCTAAAGCCATGTACTCAGCCTCACAAGTAGAGAGTGCAACTGTAGGTTGTCTTTTAGTTTTCCATGAAACAAATGGCCCATTTTTGTTCAGGCTGATACAGTAACCTGT